GGGTGCCGGAAGTTGTAAGATTTGATTGACCCACGGTTTTGGGCGAAGATATTGTTGCGAAACACGGCATTTGTATGACTTATTTTAACGCCAGTGTGACTGACGAATTCTTTTTCTAATCAGGGTTATGTAGCTGAAGGCATGCCTGCTGCTCAACGGTATCTGCAGACTTCACTCAAGCTCCAGATTGATTTGATCTCCGTCTACAGACACGTGATCCTTCTGTCAGGTGCGTCACCAGTCTCTCTCCTCTTGTTAGAGTGCAGTGTTTTGATTTTAAGAGTGATTTGAGATGTTCAAAACAGACAGATGAAAATCAAAACTTGACGATATTGGTTTGATTTAGAGATGATTTCCAGTCCGTACTGCCCAGTCTCAGCACCCTAATGTTTATAAGCATTATAAATCTCACTCGATGGAATGCGAATCGAGGTCCTTCGTTACGAACCACATACATTATCTTTGAGGCCTTTCAAATTCGTTTTCCAACAGCCTCATTGATTTTTAAAGCTGCGAAGTTGTTTCATCAAGTGATATGAGAAAGAACGAAGCATAAAGCTTCGACTGCTTCGCATCCATAATGGCGGTTGTTTTGAAACTTTGATTTACTTCATGTAAGTAGTTGCGAAGTGTTTTCATTTTGTGATGTCTTACATGAAACAAAACAAGAAACGCAAACAAACTCTCGAGATTGCGCAGTACGGACTGGAAATCATCTTTAATGCCTAGGATGAACAAAAACGAAAGAAATTGCTCTCCTTGGTTGATGCGTGAAACTTAAATGGATACAAGCGCTCAAAACAAAATAAAAATGGAAAACTGATAACGTAGAAAAATGTCAAAGTGTCATCTTGTTTAAAATTACAAGCAAATATGGTTTGATTTAGGCAGCGTCCACACTTCGTCCACCGGAGAAATTTGAAAACGCAGTTTTATTTTTCCGGTTACCTAGGCGTACCGTCCACAATAACTCCGTCACGAAAACGGAGCTTTGTGAAAACCTCTTCAAACCGAAGGAATTTGAAAACGCCGCCTCTTCATTTTCGTGTAGAGGGAAAACATTTTAAAAACGGAGCTTCTCGGAAACGATGACGTCACGATAATCATGTGGTTTCCCTGACCAAGGTTTCCTCAAACACAAATCCAAAATCAGTAAGGGTTTTTTAAAACATTTGACAATAAAAATAAAC